TTTATATTTGATTATATATATAAACTTTATTTCTTATTTTATTGTTGCAGTTAACAGAGGTGAACGTAGCGTGTGGACATTCACTTTACGAGATACTGAAGAAGACTTTATTAATGTTACAGTATGGGGAAGTATGGAATTTGTAAAACAAGTATCGTCCGCATTTAATATCGGATCTGTAGGTACGTAAATACATATATATTCACATACATATATACACATATACATATATATATTTCTATAAACTTTACTTTCTCTTAAAAAAGGCTATTTTTTATTTATTTTTTAATTATTTTTCCTGTGCAATACTACTTATACATACGGATAAAATCGTATTGTACAAGAGAAAGAAAACATATATATAGTATATATATATATATATATATATATATATATATATATGGACATATTTTAAATATAATTATATATTCTTAACAACACACATATTCAAAAGACGTCCAGAGGACATCTGGAGAATGTAAAACATTCTTTGAATGTCCCTTGGATGTCTTTTAATGTGTGTTGTTAGGAATATATTTATGTATGATTATATGTGGACTTTTTGTCCCGAGAGAACTTAGAAATAATATTATATATATTTTACATATTGTCGAAAATTTATTTAATACAAATTGTACTCATTATTATGAAAATATAGACTATTTTAATGTGGTTACGGTTTTTACAAATAAAATAGAATAAATAAAATTGTGATAAATATGTATTCTTTAAAAAATGAGGACAAATCTTAATAAAAATATCTGTTTTACAGTGGAAGTGATAAGCGCGAAAATTATGAAACGCCAGCCTAATGATAAAAATGAGCAATTTGTACCATCGACTTCTAGTCCTTTCACTCTGATTGTGAATGAGGGTGCAGCTCTCATACATAATCACGATGCGCCTACTCGTGAACAATACAAAAATTTGCTAATGCGACCTGTCAAAAGCGTGAACTCCGCAAAAAGCTTGAGAGACATTTTGGATAATATCGAGGCTTTATGTGATCGCTCAGTTGACCTTCTCGTCGTTGTCACATTTGTAAGCTATAAATAAATAATATGTCAAATCTTCAATATATCATACTATATTTCTTAAAATAATAAAAAATAATTTATTTAGTTACAATTATTAATAAATA